TATATATATATATATATATATATGATCCCAAGAAAACCCAACAAGTCAGAGACTTGATCGGACTTGAACTCAAATTCAAAATGTTGAAACCGAGAGAGAATAAAATTGAAATATTAAACAATAGCAAGTTATTACATGAAAATATTAAAAATTAATTATTTATATATATAATTTTTACATTGTCACTTGTTAAATAAAAGAAGATGCCTTTCAATAGGATAAAAAATTTCGCCTAAAATACAAGAAAGCTTAATGACAATTTCAAATGCTATGTTACTTTTGTCCCCTTGCGTAGGGCTGTAAACAAGAGCGAGCTCAGGTTTGGCTCATGTTCAGCTAGTTCGAAATAGCTCGTGTATCAGCTCGTATTCGAAATCGGCTCGTGAACAGTGTGCTCGTGTTCGACTGTTTTAATTCGTATTCTTATTCGCTTCGTGTTCGGCTCGAAATTGACTCGTTAAACTAAAATTGAGAAAAATAGATGTAAAGTGTGAGATTCAAACCTGGATCAAATATATACAAAAAAAGACACTAACCACTTTGCCACATGAGATGTTATGATTTAAACTTAGACATAAATATATATAATATATTATTATATAAATAATATATGTAATATATTGTTATAAAAAAAGTTATATAATTTTTTTTTTCGAGTCATTTCGAGCCGAACACTAGCAAACAAACTATTATTCTTGTTCGGCTCGTTTACATTTCGAGCTTAAAAATTTATTCGTGTTCCGCCGAACGAGCCGAACACGAGCTGTTCAAGAACAACAAGCCAAATTGACAGCCCTACCCTTGCGTTTGTTTCCGTTATTTGGAAGAACCAAATTAATTCAGAAAATCAACTCTTAAAAATTAATATATCTATACATGAATCAAACAGAAGTCTGAATCTCACCTCTGGAGCTAGCCACTGGTATCCAGCAGTCTCATACTCTGTGACCTCCCCTGGATTCATGCAGGTGGAAACAATGCCCATGTCGCCAAGACAAGCATTACCCTCTCGATCCAACAGAATTCTCTGCCGGTTGAGATCTTTGTAAGCCACTCCATGATTGTTCACGAACAACAGACCCTCCGACACATCTAATGCAATCTTCATGACGGAACGAACCCTAACCTTCTTGTTCTTCATCAGATCATGAACGGATCCTCCTTCCATGAGCCGAGTGACGACGCAGAGCCCATTGCTCGCGTTGAAACAAACGCCGCAGAACTGCAGCAGATTCTTATGCCCGCAGCTCATCAGCTGCATCAGGTTCTGCTGGATCTCGATTGCATATGTGCTTCCCCTTTCACACCGTTTCAGCTTCTTAATCCACACCTTCTCCCCATTGTAAGTTCCAATAAAAGAATTGATTCCAGCCCTTTCGACGAATTCGATATCTACCGATCTGAGAAGCCACCGGCCGAGATCCACGCCACCGGAGCAGACGATCTCGGGAAGTGGGTTTGGGAGATGAATCTGGCGAGGGGGGTTGGTATTGATTTTCGATGAAGGGGGAAAGGAAGAATTGCCCTCATTGATCACCAGGCCTTCTTCGCGGCATCCGCAAATGCTGAAATGAAGCTTGAAGCTCTCATTCAGCTGGTTCTTAGCGGCGGAACGAAGCGCCGCTTCGATACGGGACTTGAAGTTCTTCTCTCCACGAGCATCGACGAGGACGGTAACGATTCCGAGGGTAATCCCCTTTTTCTCAAAGATCTGAATCTTCTTGTAGCAGAGCACCGCCCCTCCGATGGCACCCGACATCGTCGGCCACGAGAAGGCCGATTTGCAGGCAAAAATAATCTTGAAATCGGAAGCCCTACCAGAGATTCGTTCGATCTGAAAGACGGGCTGACCATCGATTGCGGCCAGCTCGACTAATCGAAGATGAAGGCAAACCTCCTTGATGTCGAATCCAGCTTGAGAGTAGCTATTGGGAAGAGAATCGAAATGGCGGCGAATGTCGGGGAGAAGTTTCTCAGGGATATGGATTCCGGGCAAGAGTTGAGACAGGGAAGGGGGAGTGAAGCGGCGGTTGAGAGATTTTTGTAGGGCGGCAATCGCTGCGGCCGCTTTACGGCTCAGGCGATGCCATTTCTTCTCCGGCAACTGTCGCCGGAATGCGCCGGCATAAGGCGGGGCTTTCATTAGGAGTAGATTGAGCATTTCTTCGTTCGTGCTCCGCCGATCGGAGCAGCATTCGAGCGCAGCCGCCATCTCGGTGGTGCGAGGAATGGATTGGGGGGAGAGATGTTGATGAGGACGACGTCACTGGGAGAGTGGGGGCGTCTTCGATTTATAGTTCAGATTAGAAGCAAAAAAAAAAATAAATTAAGGGAAAAAGTGAGAAATTATTATTATTTTTTAGCTTGAGATTTTGTTTGTTATGAGGGTGAGGTGTCAGAGTTTTTATTTTATTTTATTTTTTTCTTTGTATTTTGCGAGAGATGAGGTGTAAGAGTTGACAATCATTTGTCACGCACTCCATAAAAAAGTTATATCCAATTCAATTAAATAAAATGAGGAGACCGTGGACAGAATACTATATTTGGGAAGATCATGGTGATGATAAATGATGTATGAAAATCAACAACTTTGAGAAATTAAATGCATAATTTATGTTTTTTTTTTTCATTTTTTTTTCAAATTCTCGAATATTTGATGGAATATATCAATTTGATAGTTAAAAAAATCGTTTGGGTGGTCAATTTGTAAACATTATGCGCCTAAAAAAGATATTAACATGAATCTCGAGGCAATTTGACAGACCAAGAAAAAAATGAGTTGATAAAGTTGGTATTGTTGAAAAGTGATTTAGGAACTTAAGAACTAGTTAGCATTCATCCGAAGTGACCCAACAAAATACACCGAAAAACATCCTCTGCTCGAGAATACAAGGCTTCTTGGTTGGTTACAATTCCCTCAATGAGAATCGATGATTGACGACTAGCTCAACACATTCGGCTAGAAACATGCCAACATCCACCCGATAGGCCCATCTGCCCGACTATTGCCAAGAATTTTGTCATTCATCGATACTTGAAGGGCCGATTGACTGACGGTCCCAAACCAGCAGGTCCGACCGATAACACTGATTGAGTCACCTTTTCACACCAATTAACCAAGTCAAATAACATCGAGATTCTGGGCCCACATGGATTTTATTGCTATTATAATCTATACAACCCCTAATAAAGTAAGGTTATAAAAGTTATTTTTTTTTCATTGCTCACCCTCTCATATAAATAGATGGGTCATTTCACGTAATAGAGTATTTTGCTTCTCTCTCTTTTCTCATGTATCTTCTTATAGAAACGGACTTTAAGCTCTTCACCCTCTCTATATATCAAAAGTATTCAATTATATAAAAAGAGTCACAAGAGCCCAAGATTACGCTATTTTGTCCCACATCGGCAAATCGATGATGGGCAGCAATGTTTTGCCATTGGCGACAAGTGCTTGATGATGATGGTAACGATGCCTACGGCAGTCGGGTCGCAGTGGTCCGGCGACTATTGCAGTCCAACTACAGCTGTCCAACGACTACAAAGCCCGAGAATCATGAAGAGCTTGGAGCTTCATTTAGTCATCTCTTAGGTCTTGATCCATGTCCTCTCATGAAGAGACGGGGATTATTTATAAATTTTGTAAGAATGACATCCTCCATAATTTTTGCATGAATCCAGACCACCTCATTCAACGCCCTAAATTGATCTTTTTTATCGGGAGATATTTTATAAGTATTTAAGTGTCTTAACCATGCCATAATTTTTTTATATTATTTTCATTGGATTTCTCTAATTGAGACCATTAATTTGCCTATAAATTTGTCGGCTTTGAAGATCTTTTCTACCCAAAAATAATATCTCAAGCTTCTATGTATGATTGAATTGCATGATCTGGCTTCACTAGAAACTAGATCAAATCATTTTTTATTTCATTTGATATATCTCATTGAGACACTTCATTTGATCATAAATTAGAGTTTGAGCATTTCCAAATTTGAATGAAGCGTTCGATCCAAATGTGTGTCAAGATTTGTGCAAATCAATATGACTTTTTAGGACGTATCAATAATAAAAAGTATAAAAAATCTTAATTAAATTTCAAGTTTAAAGTAAATTTATTTTCTTTGCGTTGCCATAGAAATGAATGAAATTCTTAAAAAAATATGCATCTAAACTTCAAATTATATATATATATATATATATATATATATATATAGTTTATATATTTGAAAGAGAGAAATATATATATATATATAGTATTTAAATTTGAAAGTAAGAAAAAAAGTGACATTTTAAGGTGGAATGAAATATTTATATGGTGTAAATAGACAAAGTAATATTAAGATGTTAGATATGTATATACATAAGATTTCTGTGGTTTGTACATAAATGTCCCAAGAAAATTATGTTCATAATGTATTATAATTAATTTAAAAATCATTAAATTTGTTCTAAAGTAATGTTTAGTATAAATATTTTATAATACATCAATCTTAAATTAAATCTAACAAATTTTAGATAAATTCTAATACATTTTATAGTGACATGCTATTTTACTTTCTTTTCTTATATCATCCACTCAATTCAGAGTTTGGTCCTCATATTTTAAAATTTTAAATTTTTTTTATTTTTTATTTTATTTTAAGCAAAACATAGGCTTAAATTAATAATTAATTTTATAGCTCTGGCTCAAATATTATTCATATTCGATTTTGTCGTATTTATTGGCTTTAATTGGTCTTTTTTATTTTCAAAGTAAGCTTTGACCGTTAGTTAAGTCAGGTCGACGGCCGGCCTCTTCTAAATTCCTCATTGTTTTGTCTTTCTATCGCCTATTAAATATTTTGATTTATTGTCTGTTAGCGTGATCTGCATTATTAGGAATTTAAAATTTATTTTTAAATACAGTCATGAACACACACAAAAAAAATAATATAAATGAGCTAACTTTTATTTGTATTATTCAGTTCTCTTGCTTTTTGTTTGATTCTCAAAATTCATATTTTAATTTAATGTTTTGTTTAATGGGTTAGTTAAAGCAATTGATATAACATGGAGGGGTTGGGGCGAATATAAAAGGCAAAGTTTAAGCATTAAATATTCCATATCCTAAATTTTATATTGTTGAACATTCAGCAATTTGAGCACCAAAACTTATCATGTTTTTGGGCGGTTATAATTATTTGAAAAATTAATTGTAGAATTATTGTGGAGTATTGAAAACATGGAAATTATATAGTTCTTCTTAAAGAAAACAATTTAGTTGAAATTTAATGTATGTTGTTGTAAATAAATTTCTTCTCGCCTAAAATAGTTTTTTTAAAAAAAAATTAAGCAAAATATATATATATATATATATAAATACATAAATTATTA